TGTGTGTATAATAATATATTTTAAATTCCTTAGTGAGATGGAAGGAATTTCCCACCTCTTTCCTTTTGAAGTTGACAGCTAGTAGTGTAGAAACAGGAATGGAATTTTGTAGTTAAATATTGTATTTTAACGACTACTGAATGCTATCGTTGTATAGGAGAGTGAGAGAGAAAATTTAATTTTAAGTTAATTAATGAGGCATATTGTGTTTCGTGTTCTTAGAATTGTCTACAGTTACATATGCAGTGTTGTTGTACCAGGAATTTCCAAACCTGTTAAAAATATATTTTATACCTTACTTTTTATAGTTAAATTTTCTTTTCTCTCTCTCTCTCTCTCTTTCTCTCTATTAAAGGCTTGGATGTACAATGTCTATCCGTGGATTGCTAAAGGTATTTCAGCTACTCTTGGTGGGTGGATATCTAATCGACTAATACAACAAGGTACATGTAACATTAATGATATTAGTTACTGTATAATTATGACTAGGACATTCAATGATATTTGTACATGTATACTGTATAGCTGGGAATTTTTGAGTGTGTTAAATTTTTGACGAATTGCTAAATTTTGGTGATTGACAAATTTTAATTTGGCGAATTTCTAGCCACGTGCCATTGAGCATGCGTATAATGACTCAAAATGGCGGATTTTATTTTGGCGAATGGCTATCAAAACGCCAAATTTGCCAAATTTAATTCCCTCCAAAATTTGGTAATGAGCATTACTCTTACATAATGTACATGTGAATCTCAACATGAAAAATGGCTGTAGGAAAGAATTCTCCGTTTTCATACAGTCTAGTTTTCCCTGATGCATATGTACATGAAGAATGTATTTCAAGTGACGTAGAAAGTTTGAGCTGACTCCAGTCAAAGTTGTGTGTACATTTTGAGAGAAATTGGCTGACATTCAACCTTCAGATTTTTACTCATCTTTGAATGTTGTACTACAGCAACAGCAACATTGGTACGTGTCCATTGATGACAGCATGTACACAAAAGATGCTGTCATTTCGTTGATGTGTGTGTGTGACTACCACTTCAAAGCATTTTTATTCTCTTAGATGATAATGCGAAATTTATTAATAATGAATTACTATTTATATTAACAAATTATACAGTACTTATTTGGAGTGATTTATATTGTACTGTAATTTCTTATTTCTTTTTATTACAATGACTTTTCCTCCCCCTATTTTTTTTCTTTTATTCTCTTCTCCCCCCCCTCTCCCTCTCCCTCCCTCCCTCCCTCCCTCCCTCCCTCTCTCTCTCTCTTTCTCTCTCTCTCTCTCCCTCCCTCCCCCTCTCTCCCTCCCTCTCCCTCCCTCTCCCTCTCTCTCCTCAGGTACTAGTATTACAACTACAAGGAAGTTAATGGAGCGACTATCACTAGCTGGATCTTCTCTTTGTCTCTTTTCTCTAGCCATTGCTTGTCAGAGTGGACCTTTAGCTGACTTCAATGTCTGTCTGGGTCTTGTTGTAGCTGCCATGTTCTTTCAAGGGTTTGAAATATCAGGAGTTACCATCAATCCAATAGACCTAGCTCCTTCTTATAGTGGACTCCTTTATGGTTTTATGAATGGATTTGCTGCTATACCTGGTACAGTAAGAGAGAATGGCAGTGTCACAATACATGTATAATAATTGTACCTTAAGGTTACTTTTAAATGCATGTATTATTAATTGTGAATTTTGCATTTAGGTTAAAAATTGCAATTATTAATAATGACATCATGATGCCATATCACTATTAGTAATAATTACTTAATCGCAATTTTTAATACCGGCAAAATCTACCTCATGCTAAAATTGAAAAATTTAGTACCCGCAATTAAAAGTGGCTCTAAAGTATTCTAATAGACAATAGCAAGAGTAGATAAAATTAGAAAGAGAGTGTCCTACTGTGATATACCCCCTGCTTCATCAC